CTTCTATTTAATCAAATTGAAATCGGTTGATTTATCTATGGTGCAATTTTCTAGCAGATCAACACAATTACATAGAAGATATTATTTCAATTCTAACGTATTTAATTGCTTAAACATATATTTAAATGCAAGAAATTATTGTTATCAAAACTATTTGTATGAATAAGATGAAACATTTTTTTTGATAGTGAAAAATACCAACTTTACTGTTTCTACATGTTCACTATCGAGCATCTACTAAATGAATATTGTTAATTTCGATGTAAAAATAGTGATCTTCGAATTAATAATGAAAGTAATTTATTATTTTAAACTACCCTGTTTGTTTTTATTTATTTTATTTAAAAAAAGAAAGAAAAGAAAAAAGAAGAATAGAAAATATTCAAGTTTTTTTAAAATTTTGTTTATTTAAATAGTCTTAAGCATCGGGTGTAGTTTTTGCATCAGCTGCTTGTTTTTTATTATGAAAACTAATATTTGGTAAAGGATTTTGAAATGAAGTTGGTATCATTGGTAAATCTGGCATTGGTTCTTTACGTACAATTCGAATGACTGCTGCTATAAGAATACCAACAGCAAGACCAACAATTATTCCACCAATAACAGCACCAGCTTGTGCACCTGCTGAATATGATTCTGTAATAACTGGTTTTCCGACTGCATGAGATGACCTATACTGTTTTGAATCTTTTAATGAACCAACAACTGCTTGAAATGGAATATCTGTAGTTGAATCATCAGTAAATTTCATTGTAAATTGAAATGTTCCACCATCAATTGATTTTTTAAGAACATCTCGTGATTGTGCAGCTGTTGGTTCATTATCAGACACAAGAGTTGGTGATTCAGGTTTCGGTGTTGGACCAAGTAAAGTAAAAAAAACATTAACATCATTTGTAGCATGTTCATGAAATATATCAAGTTCAGAAATACGTGAGTATCTTATTTGCATTTTATCAGCTAAATTAGCATGAACTTCTCTTTCAAGTAAACGTCTGTCTACATGATTTCCATCAATAGCACTTTCATCAACATTAAGTATAAAACTAAGATGTAAATATTCTAAATTAAGTGAACGATAACATAGACTTATATCAAAATCATTTGGATGTATTTCATGAGACATTTCATAAAATTCATATTCAATATCTTCTGTACGAATATTTAATGGTGATGGATTTGTTGGATCATTATATCGATATAATTTTAAATATAAATATACTGGATAATCAAAATGTTTATCTGTACCAGGTACTGTTTGTGAAGGTGCACGCATTGACCAACCATATTCAATATTTGTTGCTGCCCATGTTTCACCACTTGGTTTATCCGTATCAGGTTCAACAATAACAGGAAATTTATCAACTGAAGTTGTTACTGCTGCACATTTAATTGTATTACCTCGGCATGCTAAAATGATAATAAAAATTAACAAATTAATAAATTAACAGAAAATTTTCTCTTACATCGAAATCCATTAAATTCCCAAACTTTATCACGTGACTCAAAAAATCTACTTTCATGTTTAATAAAGAAACTAGCTGGATCACGATTTGGACTAACATCAGGATATTCAACACCACGATTAATTTTACATGAACCAACACGACGATCAATAATATATGTTAAATTATCACCATAATCATGTATAACAGATTCAAAATCTTCTCCATCACCTGGTGAATAATCATAACGAATACGTTTTGAACCACGTTCACGACCACGATCATAACGTAAATGAAATCTTTGCCATCGTGGAGTACGTGATGATGATGCATCAACACGAACACTAAAACGCTCAGGCCATTGAATACGAGCATCTTGAAGTGATTCTAAATTTTGATCTGAACCACTAGCACAAAATACACCTTTCGGTGGAGCTAATTGATCAGTAGTTTCTATAATTCCTGGTCTATATGCATAAACATTAAATACTTCATCAAATTCTCCAAGTTGTGTACCATTTGGTAATAGAACTGAAGCATTAATGATTGCTTGAACTGGATAAGCTAAATCACCAACAGTACCAGTTGGTGTATCAAAACCTTTTTGTGCAAATGACCATACACGTCGAAAAGTTTGAAAATTATTTCGATCGATTATACAAGTTTCCCATTGATCAACTGGAATTCCACGTACTATACTTGTACCTGCATATCTTGGTCGAATTGGTGGTCGTCGTGGATCATTACTGGAAAATAATAGAAATTCATTCAATGGACGAATATGCCATGTATTATCTTGTAATTGAATAGCCGATGTACCATCTAATAAATAAATAAATAAAAAAAACAAAATAGTTAAATTTAAAATTCAATTTAAAATATTTGAATATACCTATGTCTTTATTCATGTCAATACTACTAACGACACAAAATTCTCCACGATAATAAGTTGATTTTTTTAATGTGTCATAATAAAAATATTCAGCATCAATAAAACCATTTGCATTTTTAACTAAAACCAATTTATTAGCATTATAATCATATAAATATTGATACATTGTTAATTGACTTGGTAATGTTATATTTAATACGTGTCTAACTTCTACTCTTTCTAAAGCAAATTCTGCTTGATTTGGAAATGTTGGTAAAGGTCTATCATCCGTTCCTGGAGTTGACGGATTGACTGTACATATTCTTGGATCACCATTCCAGGTACTTGGATTAATTGTTGTGCCTTCTTGTGCATTACATCCGTAGATTAATAATACGAACAGATATACGACTCTGTAATATTTCATTTTTATTTCAAGACGACTAAATGAAAATGATACGAATTTATTGCTTGTATAGAAGTAAAATAAGACAAATGATAAGATAAAATATTTTAACTATAAAAAAATAAGTAAAAAAAGACAACACAGAGAGTTTGTTAGTAGAATTTGTTTTGTTGTCCGAAGATAAGAGATGTAAACTTTAAAATTAGATGTTTATAGAAGTTAACAAATATTGTCTTATTCTATTTTAATTCTTCTACTGTTTTTTTCTCTATACGAATACTTACATATACTGTTTTCATGACAAGAGAAAGATTCAATGAGCAATGTTGATTGTTTTGATTAATATAGAATTGAGATCAAATCATTTTAAATATTCATGATATTGTATTATGGTGAATAAACTAAATAAGAATACATTGTGTTTAAGAGTACAACTCGAATTCCGTTCTAATACCAGTCTATTCATTATTCAGTCTATAATGATCTTCCGATTACACATTGAAAAACTAATGATTTATCAAATTCTTTTTTGTTTCGATTATGTTTCATGAATATCAAATGATCGTCTCATGACTGAAATTGTTGATTATTATTTGTCGAATAGATTATTGTTCTTGCATTTGTTGCTAAGTTGAAAATAAAATTATGAAAAACTTGAATTATGAAAAATAATCTATTCTTCTTATTCAATAAAATTTATAAAATAACAATTCTATATTTCAATTTATTTAAAGTTTTTAGTTTATAAAGTATATAATAACATATTATTTTTATTATGAATCACGTGTAACTTTAAAATCTAGAGTTTTATCAAAATAAAACAGTCTTCGTTATTCTTACACATAAACACTATCTATTTCTTTCTTTTTTTATCTTATTCTGTTGACCTTGGTTTTATTAAATAATAGAACAAACATATCCATCAGATACTAGTATTATCAGATGTAAAAGACAATTGAGTAACTAAAACAAAACAATTTTTTTTCTAGTAAGATGTTGAGCACAAAAAAAAATAACTATTTTTATACGAATCATCTCTGGCAAATCGGAATATATCAAGCTTTCATTTGATCTTGATTATTTACAATGATTATTCTTTTAAATAAGTTCTATTAGCATAGATATATCTAACAGTCATAACTATTTTACAGTTGACTATTAGTTAATTAACAAGTAATTTGCGAATATCTTTCTAATCATATGAAGAAAAAATTCGAAAATTTCAGAATAGACTCTACTGCCAGAACTATATCTATGGTAAAATTTTCAGCAAGATCAAACTTCGAAAAAAAAAATCTCCATTAAAAACCGATTTTCTAGAGATCCTATCAATTTGCAAAACAAATATTTTTATCTTAATATCATCTAAAAATTCTGAGGAAGGATTTATACTTTTTGAACTTCGCATTCTGTTCTAAGAGTATTGTTTCGTCTGTAGATTCGTACTCCGTCTAGAGTCTATCGAATCCAAGAATTTCTGGATCCGGACTCGATCGGGCCCGAGTAGAACCCGATGGATTCTAACTTCATCACGTCGCCAACGAAGAGTAAATTGATTTTTTTGAAAAATTTAGACGTGTTCAGAAAAAAACTTTGAATAGAGATTTTGTAGCATCGAAAGTTATCTATAAAATGTACTATTTAGTTTTGTCTCAATTCGGAGTTTTTTTGTTCCTTTGAACAATGGCTGCTAGTACTGATTTTTTTCAGTGTATTTCGAGTAACTTAACATACATGTAACATATAAAAATTAGTTCTAGGAAAGTTTATTGTCTCGAGATACATGTATTTTAATTCTGCGAAATCGCGTCGCTAACGAATAGTTTTTCTCATATTTATCGACAGTATACACAGCCACTAAGAATATGTGAGGAAATGTACTTTTACCAACTTTAATTGACTCAAATATTCATAATTTGTTCTTGAAAATAAAAAATATTTTGTTATTTTTCTCTAGATAATAACTATTCTTTTTTTTTGTTAATAACACAAGAAAAAATTTGAGTTTTCTAAAATAGATGTATACCTTATCTCCAGAGAAAAGGATTACCAAAAACAAAACACGAAATCAAACAAAGAGAAAACAAAAAATAAACAATATTCGGAATAGATAAAAGAAAAAAAAAAGGTATATCATGAATTACAAGAATATAATGGGTAATAGATGAAATAATATTCTACGGGGAAGAGAAACTCAATTGTGAAATTTTATTTGAGAGAAATTTTTTGTTTTTGGTTTTTCTAGATGGAATTTATTTCGATGGAAATGTATATCGAATTATTGCCATAAATGAGTTTGTTTTATATTCGATTCATAGCACAAATCATTTCTACCAACACTCGAGGTTGTTGTTGTTGTTCTATAGAGCATAGGTTCTTGTTTAACAAGATTTCGACAGATTGGTTGTATTTGTGGTTGTTGTTGTTGTTGTCCAGTAAATACAATTGAATTAGGACTATTAGTTAACATAATTGCTTGACCTGTACCAATATTTGTTGTTGGATAATCTCGATTAATCAAACTAAGATTTAAAAAAAAACAAAAAAAAAAAGTTTTTTTTTTCTTTTTAAATTTACAATATATTATATTTGTGTTGTGATACACGATCTAAAAGGAATGTTGAAGTATATACTCTCCAGAGATGATCACAGACTGTAACAGATGCTGTTGATATGCGATCACAGACCGTATACCAACAACGACTCATTACAATGTATTAACTACTTTCTTTTTGTATTAAATAAAATAAGGATGAAGAAATATGCCCGAAGATACATGGAAAAAAATTAGCAACAGCAATTACATCGTGTTTCACATTTTAATCCCGCAGGGATTGTACTAAGAGTTGTGTTTTTTTACTTAATAGGAATAGTTGATGATGATGAATTATCATTAGTTGTGACAACAGTAGCATTAGTTAAGGATGCTAGAAAGTTTGATGTCAATTGTGAAGCAAGTGCACTTATGTCAATCGATGAAACACTCATATCCGGACCAACTAAAAGAATTAAAAATTAAAAGAAAAAATAATTTTTTTTTTGATAGATTAAAACAATCTATTTTAACCAGTCATAATTCGGTTAATAGGTGTTGTTGTTGCTTGTTGAGCTATAAAATGATTTATCGGTGCATGTGAAGATTGTGTTACCTAAAATTAAACAAAATTTGGTTTTTTTTTGTTGTTATTCTGTATTATTATTTAGATTGTTTTTTTATTTTATTTACATGAGTTGTATTTGAGGGAACATTAGTAAAATTATTTCTATATTGATTCATATCAATAGATTTCGGAATAGGATAATTGGGAATGTGATTTCTTATTGTTGTTGTTGATAATGGTTTGTCATCAGACGAAGATGTTAAATATTGAAAATCGGGTAAAACTGTTGTTGTATTATTATTATTATTATTATTATTATTATTATTAAGGAATGTCATATCATGGCTATTGTTATTTGATGATGAGCAACTAAGATTGCTATTGACAAGAAACTAAAAAAGTAATAATGATGATCAGAAATATATACATTTTGTAATATATTTACACTATTAACACTTTCAGCAAAGGTTTGGTCGTTACTTTCATAATCATGTTCAATAAATTCAGTATCTTCACTACTAATTCTTATTGTTGGTTTTATTGTTGAATGTTTTTTATTTAAAATCTTTATTGTTCGAATAAATTTAATTAATTGAAGATAAAAAAAAGAAAAAAAGAATATATACTTACATCAACAATCTCAACATTAGTACATGATTCATGAGGTGCATTATATTCAGCATATTTTAATAAAACTTTATCCATATCAGATGATGCATATTGAAATAGACGACCATTGCTATTAAATATAATTAATGCTATTTCACAACCACATAATACTGATAATTCATAAGCTTTTTTCATTAAACCAAATTTTCGTTTTGTAAATGTAACTTGACGAGTACGATCATCATTAATACGAGTTATATTAATCTTTTTACGTCCCATGATTTTTTTTGTTGTTGTATTTTTATTGTTATTAGTAATTTTATATTTTATCGATGTATTATTTTCGTGTAACATACTCAAATATATGAGTAAAAACTGTATTTATTATTAATTTGTTGATTTAGATTGAAATAGATAATATACTTGGCATATAACCAAAATTATTATTCTTAATAGAAAAAGAAAGAAAAACAATAAATCTATAGCTTAAAGAATAGTTATGATGATCTCATAACCTTAAATAAATGAATACAAGGATAAATCCTTGACATTTTCATAATAGAAACATATAGCTAAATATCAATGCTAAGAGGAACAGTATATCTTTTCTTTAAAGACTAGCTTTTGGAAAAAAAAATTTATTTAAAATTATATTTAATAGTTTTATTTTTATTCTATTAATTACTTCTTCATTAATAATACATATGTAAAATAACTATCAGATATACATTAGAAGTGTATCATATTTCTTTTTCTTGTTTTAATCAATATACAATCATTCTTTTCCAATTTTGGTATTCGATTTACCAGAAAAGTATTTGATTTTCTTACTTACCAGAATAGAATCTTTAAGAAAACACACAAACGCAAATAAACAGTGATAAAACACAAATCTATCCTTGTTCTTTTTGCGCTCGCCAAACAAAAATCAGAAGACAAATGGCTTCTAAATATATATATACATATATTCTTTCTATATTTCTGCCTAATGTTATTCTTTTTTTTTTCTCCGTCTTTCTTCTTAAAGTGCAAAAAAGATAATACCCATAGCGCCTTCCTACGTACTACGCGTCTTATGGATAATTCGACAAACATATTCGTAGGCGTTATACATTGTGGTTTGATGTCTTGTCATTTAATAAACGTCTTTGTACCTAAGCAAAATAAGATAACGATAATCAGACACATATATATTAGAAATAAAAAACAAGGTACAATTGTACTCTTGTCTATTGTTTTATATCAATAAATTCCTTTTCATTTGTTTATCAACATTTTATTTTTCAAGTCAATTAGAAGTTTATACACATGTGAATACTGTTATATTTCGATAAGATATATAATGATACACAGATATACGTGTATCAAACATAGTTATCAATTCAACATTGAACTCGTCATCAATAATTACAAGTCACTGATGAGAAAAATATTCTTTTTTTTTTGTTCGAAATCGGTTTATTTACAAGGAGAAAATAAGAATAGATGATAAATCAATAAACTAACTAAGAAAATATAGTTACATGTATACGTAGCTAAGATAAATGATTTTAGTTTACAAACGTTTTTCAAATGTTTCATCAAATGGCTTAACAAAATGATGATTTTTCGATCCACAATGACCACATTCAAATTCAGATGAATAATTACTAAAATTAATAAGACCATCTTTTATTGAAACAATTGGTTGAAAACATTTCGAACATGATAATCTTGCTTGACAACATGGAAATGCCGCAAACAGATCTTTAAAACAAAAGAAAACAATAATAGATAAACAAAAGACTAATCAACATACCATAATAATAAAGCGTACCGAAAATAATTGGATCAAAATTAAATTTAGTCTTACATAAACGACAAAGTACATGTAATGAACGCATGGATAAACATTCAAGACATATGCCATGTAAATAAAGTTGTCGATCATTATGAAAAACAGCAATAGAAACTTTTCCATTATCACTATGTTTGATAGGACTAGAAAATAAAAAGGTTAAAACAAATTACTAAACAATTGTTTAATGTCTGTATAATTGATTTTCTACAATAATAGATATTTTATCTCTGGTTTGACATTATAACTGTTTTGCAGATGTTGAATAATACTGGGTCATGTCACTATGACAATGTCACTTAAGTGGAATTTACCTTAAAAAAAGTGTACCATCAACAAGAGGATATCGATCATAGACAACCATTGATTGACCACAAACTGTACATGTTACATCTGTACAACCGACCATTGATAATTGTGATAAAACAAAACAACGTGTTTCATCATTTCCATAAGGACCTTCATCTTCAAGACGAATATGTATTGCATTTCGTTTATGTAATGGCAGACGATTAAGTATTGACCAATCTTGACGATGTTCAAAAATATTTCCAGCTGCAGCATGTTTTTCATCAAATTGTGGTAATGTACCAGCACTAGTACCAGTACTCATTGAGGTTGATATTGAACCAATATTATTATTTCCAGTAGAACTAGCAGCTGTTTTTTTGCTATGTACTGATGTTGCTCCACCATTTGTATTATTTATATTAGTTAAACCCGATGGAGAACCAAATGAAGATGACAAACTACCTGAACTATGTGTACGATATCGTGATGAACGACCAGCACGAGGTACATTCAATGGTTGAGATCGATCAGTATCTGTCATCTACAAAATTGAGAAAAAAAACTTAACAAAACAAAAAAAAAAGATGTTAATTCTGTTATTTTTTTTTTTGTTGTATTTTGAAAACAAAACAAACAATAACAATAAGAATTATTTGGTTTTTTGTAATTTTCGATATTCTCCTTCTTGCATTGATAATTGTGCTTGAATATCTTTGACTTTGCGTTTTCGTTGAGTATCTCTATAGAAAAATAAATAAAGTTCTAAATAAATAAAATTCTCGACAAAGAAAAAAAAAACATACTTTTCCACTTGTTGTTTAAGTTCTTCTCGTGCTATAAATTCAGTATCAAGTACAAGTGCACGAGTAACAGATTTATGTTCACGTTTATATTTTCGTCGAAGACGTAGACGTTCATCATATTCCTTTGGTAGACGACTATTCTTTTTACCTTCATATCTATATTATTCAAAATCAAGAAAATTTTGAAAAAAACAAAAATCCTAAATTTTCAACATACACTGGTCCAAAACGAGGTTCAAATAATTTTAACATTTTTGCTTGTTCTTTGCCTTGTTCAAGATGTTTACGATTAGTAAGACATGTTGTTTGAATTGTATCAATTAAATTTAAAATCTCTCGACATTGAGACTAAATAAATTCATAAGAGACTTACAAAAAAACAAAAAGAAAATTTTCTTTTTTACTGATATTTGACTACATTTTGTTGTATCAGCAATAGTAACAAGAAAAGATTTAAATGGTTCAGCAATTTCTACAATAGCTGAAAGTGATTCATAGATTTGAAGAAAATCAATTAGATGATTGAGATATGTTTGAAGAATTGTAGCACTATAATAGAAAATAAATCAATTAATTATAATTCGAATTTTGATATAATTCAAAAATTTAAAGTGAAAGAAATATTGTTAAAAGTGATGACGAAAATTTTTTGTTTGATTTTTATAAATAAAGAAATTTATTAGAATTAAAGAATGATTTTGTTTTAATTTTTAATCCAATGAATAAAATAGTTAATTCTTTGATAAAAGTATTCTTCTTACCGATGAGAATCATTATTATCGTCAAGATCATTGGTATCAAAAATTGTTAGTTTAGTTGAATTGGATCTAAAAAATATTTTCAATTCATATGTAATATGACTTCGTAGTTGTTTTATATTTCTAATAATTTTTAAAATAATTCTATAGTGTCCTATTTTTCGAAAAAACAAAAAAAAAAGGCTTTTTTATTTAAGAGTCACATCCTAGTTGAACAATACGGCCCATAGATCGTCATAATACTGGATGCAGAAATTCAGCTAGGTAATAGTGAGATTACGGATCATATGAGGCCCTATACAGTTTGTTTACTATCGTAAAGTTGTCGTTTTGATCGATCTGGGCATATGGTGCTGTATTACGGTGACCAGAATTCTGACGAGAATCATCGTTCCGAGGATATTCAAGGACAAAGTGTTCCTTGTATCTAGTTGTAAATGATCTAACTAATTAGTATTTATAATACAATACTCAGTGGGTAGCCACAGCATGTGTATATAGTTTATTCCTTGTTTTCATCGGGATGTATTAGTGATAATAAAATCGATATTTTTGTTTTCTGAAGATTTTTGTATAATATTATTATTTTCTATATAAGAAGGTTATTATAGTTCATGAAAACAATAAGATTTAGATGTATTTTCTAAATAATTTATAAGAGAATTTTAATAGTATGTTTTTTTTTAGCGTAATATAAATCGACAGATTCACTTTTCAGGTCACATTTATATTCATCTCAATGAAACAAAGTCGAATACTAGAAATAACTAATTATCGAAAAGTAGTTTAATAAAATGTACACTTATTTTTTTAGTGTCTGCAGAAATTTTAAAACATTAAGTTTGAATCAAAATTTTGTATTGTTTCCAAATATAGGTTCAACATTTCTCTAGAAGTTATGAGTCGACCTTTTAGAAACGTGAAAATTATGTGTAGACTAAAAAAATCGACGTTTTATGCATAGAATTAAATGCGAGATTGTTCTCTATAAAGTGACATAAGAATCAAAGTTTTACGACAATCATCCAGACTTACTTTTTAAGTCTGTTTTTCATAGCAACCATAACAGAATACTAACTGTTGATAAATGACTTAAAGTAAACTACTTATTAATATACCATTTTATAGAGAAGTTTTTGCTCTTTCATTGGTTATATTTGATATAATTTTCATTTCTACTTTGAGTAAGTTTTAGCACATTGAAGTTTGTCCAAGCGCAATTTTGCCAGTCTTGAAAAGGCTGGTTTATAAATCTTACATACTAATCTAAATGCTTTAAAATTTCTGCAAGTTCCTTTAATATATCTTCGACAGAAAATCTATTTCAAAAAACTCCTTAGAATTAATGAATAGAACACCAAATAGATTTTGAATAATAATTAAAATCAAAATAATTCAATCTATTTCAAACGTTGTCTTTTAAAACAAAAAGATCATTTATACGCATTCAAACTACATTTTCGTAGTTACATAGGCAATTTTCACTGGAACTGGACCAGGTTCGGGTCTGAAAAACTTCAATAAACCGAGTCCAGGTCCAAAAAAGTTTGATCAACTGCGTCCGAAAACTTTGGATCGGATAGGTTCAAA